ACGAAATTCAAAACAAACAAACAAGTCTACTGCAATTTAGAAAACAAAACTTTTGAAAACAAATCACACATGGTTTGTGTGCGTGAATACGATTTCCAATTAACAACACTAGCAGAAACGCCGCCTTATGGGCAGCTGTTTCTGCTAGTAATTATTAATCACAGTATTCATACTTCATTGAAAAAAATGTAGAAAAAGTGAACATTTTCTAAAAAAAAATGATTTTTTTATGGGAAGTACCGCACCGGAAAAGTGTTCGGATTGTGCTCTTTAGTGGTACGCAACTCATTGCAGCAAAATGATTCAATGTACAGAGCTCAAAATGTTCATAAATTTTACCGATATATATACTATAATGTTTTTATATATTAAAAGTGGTTCCGTTTATTGAAAAAATAATAGTTTTTAAGAATTTAAGTTTCTCAGTACTACATTTAAAAATTACAGTTTGATAAAGATATAATCAAACCCTCATGTACAGTCCTAGTGAGAGTCGTGTTCTTGTTTCAAGGAGAGTACTTTTATTTAAAATTGTGTTCTGTTATAAAGAAATGGTTGTTGCACATACCACAGATATTTTTTCTAATTGTTTAAATCTTGAAAATCCAAAGTGTGAAAAAGTTTTATGGATTTTTGTTTGTGGTGCCATTCAATATATGGCGCAAGAATTTTGATTACATACATAGATACTGACATACACGCTACATCCAGTACAGTAAAGTTAAGTCTACATATAGCATACTTTTAATTACGACATTAGTACTGAATGAATATACGAGATAACAAGTAAACCTTACTTGATATTGAAGTTAAGTCTACATATAGCATACTTTTAATTACGACATTAGTACTGAATGAATATACGAGATAACAAGTAAACCTTACTTGATATTGAAGTTAAGTCTACATATAGCATACTTTTAATTACGACATTAGTACTGAATGAATATACGAGATAACAAGTAAACCTTACTTCATTATCAGCATTTGTTATGTAAATACGATATCTTCTAATGACATTAAAAGACCTGTGTTTCTGGAAATTTCTTTGAGAAAAACAGTTTTCTTACATAATTTTAAATATATCGTTTAGATCCCTATCGTTTCCAACACATTTTTGTGAATTTTATTTCTTCACGCGCGGGGAGTGTTACCCTAATCAGTTTTATGGAGTAACCCTAGTCCAAAGCAAGGATTAATACAGGTTTACGACTATTCACCTCCGTGCACAAGCATAGCCATCCATAATTTAAAAATAACCGTAGGGAGAGCGACCAGACGATATCATCTACAGCCTACGCGGTTACCCTTAACCGAAAAGCGGTGCTAAACGTCACTGTTATAACGCCACCACAGCCGAAAGTATGGGATATATTGAGCACAATATCGAGTCTCAACCCAAGGGTATTTCGATTAGCAGATCAGCACATTCCACCAATACCATACTCGGCTCTACAGATAATTAAAATGTGTAGGAAGTTATTGGGTTTTATTAAATTGACATTGAATCATTATTTTTCTGATATAGCACAAACAAATTGATTACTACTATTCATCTTCTCGTATCTTGCAGATACAACTGTTTTCAAAGCACATATATAGAAGCAGTATCTGTATGGATCAATGCAAAGTTAGTATGGTAACAGTATTAATCTTATCATTAGATTATACCTTTGTAGGATTACTGTTAGGGTAAAGTACACTGTAACGGAATATACAGTTGGGTCATCAGTTAACATTTTCAAAACGAGATATTACATGTAGATTACACCTTATGAAATTATCGCGAGTCAACTGATTTTTCAAAATTGATTGCTCAGTAAAATGTGACACAGATGAACAGAAACAAAAAATATAACTAAAAAAAACGAAGCTGAAAAAACAAGTTAATCGAAGCACGCGCCAATATTTAGCTAATAGTAGTTTAGTCGAAGTCACACATCATTCTTATCTTTTACAATTGTGTAAATTACCTACAGTTCTTTATGTTCTACCGTTTCGAGTACAGAACCAATGTTAATTTTCTTTTCAAAATGCCACAAAATGTGACCATAAATACCACAGGAGTGTATAGTCATGGGCATTATATAAATGTTTGTGTGTTTATGTCAGATAGATCATATAAATGCTTAACTACACTTGAAATGCCTTCGAAATTTAAGTTTCGAGATTTTTTTTTCTATTTAACCTTTTAAGATGGTCTTATATTAGGTTATAAATCTGGATAAAAGAAAATTTATCTAAAGGGGCTGTTGCATTTCACTGAATTTATGACTGATAGTGCTGTACACGTTATAAAAATTTTTCCCGCTTAAATCTGATTAATAATAAATTTTAACTAGTTTCCAGTCATGACGGTTCTACTGGAAGGCGAAATAACAAAAACACTTTTTACATTAAACGTTTCTTAGTGTATGATTTTGGGGGAAAAAAACACATAAAAAAGCCCATTTTAACCAGAGAATACAACACATTAAGTGACAGTTCTATTGATCCGAACTTCACAACTTTGGTATTATAAACTTCATACACATACATACACGTGTTGGTTTACAAAAATACACTAATTATGGGATGTGTTACACGATTACGTGAGTCCTAAAAATGCATATATTTATTCGTATCTCCATAAGAACATCCCTCCAGTGGCACAGCGGTATGTCTGCGGACTTACAACGCTAGAATCCGGGTTTCGATACCCGTGGTGGGCAGATCACAGATAGCCCATTGTGTAGCTTTGTGCTTAATTATAAACAAAACAAACCGTAAGAATAAGTATGCTGAACTGATTTTCCTACTAGTATAAAGACAGAACTGTTAATAAGAGCTGGGTCACACAGGATATTTACTCAGCTATTTGAATCTGCAAACTCGACAATTTTTAAGTTTCGTAAGAAATAAATAGATTAGACACGTTTGATAGGATAGTGAAAAAGTCTTTATTAAAGACACAACAACAAAAAATGTAGTATCCGTGGAGACAAGCGTATGATCGCCTCTACTGGATCAGAGACTTAGATCTTTAGTTTCTCATCCCTCGAGTTGAATCTCTGCAGAACCAATCACGATGAAAGATAAGTAAGAAAGGCCTAGGAAATCATTGGTCTTTTTGTCTTGCAACGGCTTCACCACGTGACCGAACACACACACACACACACACACACTTTCTCTTCACATTCCAATTTCTAAATCTTTTATCCAGCACGAGAAATGACACTTGATTCGAAAAATGAAGAGAGAGACAAAGTCGCGTTGTGGACCAAGTATTCGTATGTCTAAACCTGCATAAAAGCGAATTACAGGAACATTTCAAAAAGTTCTACATCACTAAAGATGGTGAAAAAATACATGATATACAGAGTACATGATGTACTCAAATATCACAGCAGGAACATGATTATCAAACATTTTCTTTGGCTGGGCTTTTAAATATCTATCATTAGATATACAACTATCGGTTATAGGAAAAACTATGGCCGAATTACCGATGACCAACCGAAGAACGGAGCATACTCCAAAGGTCAGGTCATGTCCCAACTAACTTATTCATTGAAGAGCGATCATGATTTGACAGTTACCAACCGTTCCATGCAGGAGAAATTAGAAAACTGTTATGTGTTTGTTTGAAGTTAAGCACAAAGTTACACAAAGGGCTATTTGTGCTTTGCTCACCACGGATATCGAAACCCGGCACTGTTATATGATAGTCACTATATGATAGCATGGCCAGGTGGTTAGGGCGCTCTACTCGTAATCTGAGGTTCGTGGGTTCGAATCCCCGTCCCACCCTTTCAGCCGTGGGGGCGTTATAATGTGACGGTAAATCCCACTATTCGTTGGTAAAAGAGTAGCCCAAGAGTTGGCGGTGGGTGGTGATGACTAGCTGTCTTCCATCTAGTCTTACACTGCTAAATTAGGGAGGGCTAGCGCAGATAGCCCTCGTGTAGTAGCTTTGCGCGAATTTCAAAAACAAACAATCATTTATCTAAGACACTTTATTGCGTAAAATTATTAAAAGATTTAATATGGAACATTCATGTAATCGACTATGCGATTACACATGTCAGACAATTTCGCCCAGACCGATTTTGGAAAGGGGAAAGTTACAACATTAGGATTAATACATTTGTATTGTAAACAACAAATATGTGTTTAAAACCTTTGATGGGAAAACATGTTTAAAAATTTCCAAATATATAAATGGGCTAAAATAGAATCAAGACGATTGATGCGATGAATAAAATTCATTTAAACACACATTTCAGTTTGTACTTAATCCATCTTCAGAGTGATCTACAGAATAAAGATGAGAATAATCGAATATATATATCAGGCAGGCGGCAGCACTATCTATGTAGGGATGGCTCGGATTGTTCATCGAAATGGTATTTTAAATATCTCTTGAACAGGTCATCAGTGTTTCTTTTTGTAAAAATATCTATGTAATGACTGAGACACAAGTTCTGGGAATGTCTGTAAATATCATAGCAAAAAGTTTGAATTTCCAGGTCTTCTTTCTTCTGCTTCTTTTTTATTAGATGATAACTCAAAAACCAAATGGTATCAATCAATTTTACTGAGGTGACAGTTTCAAATTGTATTATTAATAACTAGTAGTAATAAAAAAAACATAATTCTAATGTAAATGATGTTGTCATTACCCCTTGAAGTTAGATTTCTTACGGAAATTTGGTGTTCCTTTAAAAAGTTAGGTACAGGGTGAGACAGGAAATACCAGCCAATACTAGATAAACAATAAATATTACAATTGGAACCTCATTGTATTTAGAAGTTGGTTATAAATACAACATTCCTATGTCTATTGAAACACTGCATTAAAAAACAAGCAAACAAATAAAGAAAAAACTTTCAAAAAAGGAAGTAAATGTAGGAATGGATAATATCAATTCTTCAAAAACAATGTAAACAAGATAATAGGGATGGCATTTACATCATCCCTACATACTAGCACAGGCACACAGTGTAATAGAATGTTAATAGACCAAAATAGGACAAATTAAACTCAACTGTGTTTGAATAGTTACAGTATATGTATATATGTATATATATGTATATATATGTATATATATGTATATATATGTATATATATGTATATATATGTATATATATGTATATATATGTATATATATATCCCTACTATATTGTTTGCATTGTTTCTGAAGGATTGATATTAGCCATCCGTACATTTACTTCCTTTATTGAAAAGTTTTTTAACTTGTATATCCTTATATTATACTCTTTGTCTACACACACACGATTTTTCTAATAACAATAACAAACTGTCGACACACAAGTTAAAACATATAGCTTATGTAAACTTGGCAGGCTGAAAGAAATAATTAAGTGGACAGAATTGACAGGTAACGAGGCAAAGCGAATTAAAAGGCCTCGTTACCTGTCAATTCTGTCCATTTAACTTTGAACTATAATTAGTTTACATTCTCTTACCTTAAACTGTTCGATTATGGTGACTGGATCGTCAGCAGTTAAATTAATGTATGGTGATAATGCCACTACAATTCCATTTAACTTTGAACTATAATTAGTTTTGGAATTGTAGTGGCATTATCACCATACATTAATTTAACTGCTGACGATCCAGTCACCATAATCGAACAGTTTAAGGTAAGAGAATGTTCGTACCTGTTTTCCTGGATGGTTATTAAACTTGCTTTACTTATGTAGAGTGTCCAACAAAAAACCCATAAACTGGTGATACATAATTTCTGCCTGCTAAACATTGTAATATACACTTAAAGAAATGCCTTTTATCACACTATCGAATCCTTCAACAATGGTCCTGAGAGAGTAAATAATATATGAAAAAGTTCGTTCTATAATGGCTCTAATGTTCCACTAAAAAACGGATTTCTCATTGATGACGTAGTAGTTGTATATGGAAATATTATCGCGGGGTAGAAAGTTCATTTGGTTGCTATGGGGACCAACTGATAAAATATTTCTAGATTAGATGAAATGACACTAGATGGGCGGTATGCGTTGACTGAGTGTAAATATCAAAAGGTTTAACAACGATATTCAGAAGAAAAACATTTTAAATCTTGAGTATGTCAGATACGAATCTCGAAAACGGATTTCCGTTCTTCTGACAGTTAACACTCGTTATCAAACTCCTTTACCTCATTTCCATTAAACCAAATCTCGAACGTTTTCTTAGTGTAACGAAGTTGTTTTCTCCTTCTAATAAGCTAATATCTGATAAGAGGAAACATTCTTCGCTTGTGAGCGCCCCCTTTTCTTTTCTCACTCGTGTATTTGTTGTTGTGGTTATCACAGTTCAAGAGACATAAACCCCACAACAAATTACAATACCACGGGAAACAGTTGTGCTATAAACTTGTAGTTGTACTAGGTGTAAAAGCAGCGCAGTATGGGGTTAACAATGTAGTGAGAGTATGACAAAACTAAAGTGAAGCTCAACAGTCAAACGAGAGAAACGGATTAAACGTTTCAAATCAAAATTATTATCATGATCTTGCGAGATTTTGTGTTTTTGTTTGGCACCATACTTCAACGCCTTTGGCTACAAGATCGTCATTCCAACCTTTAACTAATTTTTCTAGGTCCGTTAAAATCTGTATGTGGAACGAGTCATAAACACATATTTATAGTATTCCCTTTCACCATGACTCAACAGTTTCTTAAGAAATCTGTTTCTACATGCAGCGTATTAAGTCAATGAAAATAACTCTGAATAATACATTGCGGTGTTAAAATGTTTGATTTTCCGCATATTTTACTTATACACGTTCTAAAACTAAAACAACAGATTGTTGAACAAAGCTTGATATATCTTTCGATAAGGTCTTGTGATGAAGGAAGTGTAGCCCTAACCCAATCGTCTTATAATCATATAAGTGTATTCTAATTACGTTTCCGACTTTTTGTTTATCAAAACCTTTGGGAAAAATATGTATAAAAACATACTAGTATGTACAAAATTGGGTTTACTATTAAAAAAAAAAACATACAGTTGCAACACGTAACTAAAATGTTGGTCCCTAGTGGGGCAGCGATAAGTCTAAGTACTTATATAGCTTAAATCCGGGGTTTGATCCCCGTTGGCCACAACAGATAGCCCAATGTAGCTTTGCTCTAAAACAAACTAACTATAATGTTGTCTTCGCCTCTAAAAAACATCACCCTGAAATACCCTTGCATTTGATTTATTATGAAGTTTGCAGCAAATATATGTTAGAAATAAACATTCAGTAGTTGCCTATTGTTAGTTTCAGTATAGCATCGTCACGTGACGACAGTTGTGCTGTCCTTATAGTTATGATCCTCTCATAGAATATTTCCCTGTACTTTTAGAGTAATGAATTCTCACAAGAGAAATACAACTGTCACTAATGCAGCAGGTGTCTCCAGTACTGTCTGTATTTGCTGTAACTACAGGTACACGTTTTTTATATATACAGGTGTCCCCGGTTTAAGTTTACAAAATATGGTCATCTTAGATATAGGTAGGATGACCAGATTTTCAAATTATAATCCCGAGACACACGTATTTTTAGATCTTAAAATCGCCCCTATCTTTTTTTTAAGAGAACATTATAGATATTCAATTGCTCTAATTACAAATATAATTAAGTGTTGTGTGTTTTAGAGCAAAACCACAATGAGCTATCTGCTGTGTCCACCGCGGGGAATCGAACCCTGGATTTTAGCGTTGTAAATCCATAGCGCTGTCTCAGTTGGGGGGGGGGGTGCATATCGTGAAATGGATACTTATATTATTGCTACAACAGGTGCATCTCTGACGAGTGATTTTTTTAAAAACAACTCCTTATTGATCAGGAGTTTTCTCAAATTCTGAGCAACTGTCATTCATGTTCATCCTTGAGTTTTCTTATATAAATGCTTATAAAGCGCCCAGAGCTTAAAGTATGGGGTATATTTTGTAGTATTGCTCGGTTTCGAATCATACTCGCCGGCTCCGAAATCCAGAGCTCTACCACAGAGCGAAACCCAATACCAAAAACACCTGGGAACAATGTACAGTCATTCGTTCGTTGATGTGTGTTCTAATACAGCAATCATAGCAGGTCTGAGTGAATAATATCTAGATTAGTCATTCTCCCAACCATTAGTTTATAAGATACGAACTTGATAAATTAAAGATTCAAACACATAAATAAAACTGTTGTTACAAGTGTGGTGCTAGTTCCACATTATCTGGTTTTAAAAAGATAAAATCAGGATGAATCACCAACAAAAATGCAGTAACACGACATCTATTATTATTATTTACCTTTCAATTACACGATTCTTAGCTTGCACTGCAAATATTCTATTAAAATTGCTGGTGAATCTTGAGGGTTGATAAAACGTGCATAAATGCCATTATAAAAACAACTAAGATCGTAAGCTTTTAGTAACAACTGGTGTTAAATGTGCGATGTATTTCGTTTTGTCTGGGTTATTTAGGCAACACTATTATCGTCGCCATTTCATAAAGCTGAGGAAACATGGACAACAACAACAACAAAGAAAACTAGAAAAGAGACATCATAGTTTTAATACCATGTTTCTTATTAATAAATTACAGTAAACATTATTAACTACTATAACTGCTCCAGAACACTTAAAAACTATGTGGAATTTATTATTTAATCTGAGTTTTATACCGTTAATCACCATGGTATCAACATATCGCATCATATTGAGTAACTTTGTGTTTTTGCTCGTTACACCCAGTTTAACAAACTGACCATAACAATTAGATAAAAACCACACAGTTTCTATATAAAATATATTGGGAGCTCCAACATTAACTAGAGGGATAAATTTCAATAATGATGGTGTATTTCTTAAGTTGTTTTTAGAACTTGTATGCTACTGGGAACCTCAAAAGCAATTTGATGCGTAAATAGTTTGGAGCAAATGTGTTTAAATAGCTAATAGGACCATAAATGTAATTCATAGTTAAGTAATTTATTGATAGTCGTAAAAAATTCAATGTCACGATGTACTGTGTGATCTATGAAGATATGAATATAACTGTCTTGTTGTCCAACATTCCTTACATGTATGTAGTTTTATTAAGTCTGATTATGAGGTGACCTCGACCTCCAAATTATCATATTAAACATAAATGTACTGCAGTTTGTGCTGTTCGAATTTGATTTCATCTGTAAAACAAAGTTGAAATATAAGTAAGGACAGAAAGAAAATCTGACAATGGTATTAAATATGAGCTAACTCCAGTAACTAAAACAATTTAAATAATTTTATCTCACATGTGTAATAAAATTCAGCTCAACAGTTTTAGCTTTATAGTTGTCCGGGTTATGAACTTTAAAAAATGTGGAGGTGGATGCTATGATAAATAACACAAAAATCTTAGCTTTTACACAATTTACTTATAACATAACATATTATTACAGGATTCATTATTACCTCACAAAAAGATTGGTATAAGCTTTAAAATATTAATATGTATATATTTAAGCCATGGTATAACACAAAGTGAAAAATTAATCAAACTGTTGCGCCATCTATGAATGTAGTTAACGTTAACTTACGTCCTAGCTAATAAATGCACAATAATGAGTGTTGGAGGGGGTTGTGAACCCACCATTAACATGTCCCTTGTTACAAATTATTATCCCACAAAGTTTGGTTGAAATTGGCCCAGCGACCTAGGAGTAGCTAGATAACGGACAGACACACAGATTTTTGTGCTATGTATATATATATATATTATTAGGCTTAATGGTAATAATGTCGATGCTAAGAAGCAAGTAACGTTGTCAAATGTCCTTGTTGTGTGATTGGTGATATTAACAAAATTTCAATGTTTTACCTAACAAACGCAGTACTAAACCAGCAATTTCCAGTGTTACTGGATGCTACCCGCCTGGGATTTCTTTGTGTTTGTGATTGAAATGCAGGTGATCTTTGTTGTATTCACAATATAATAGTTACAGTAGTCTTTATTATTTATTGGTCGAGAAGAAAGCCCTATACCTTGGGTTTTAGCTGAGGTGTAATTATTTTATTCCTGGTTTCATTTACTATATCACTTCGTTACTTTTTATTGATTCGTCAGCCAAAATGCTTAAGAATATGATCATATTTTGCAAACGTTAATAAAATTGAGCTAAAAACTTTGCATTATTCTCCGGAAATAGAATGGTTTTTGATACAAAAATATTAATTTTCATTCATACTCCCTTCTAGTAAAATTTTATAGTTTTAGCACACAATGATGCTAGTGATAAATATTGATATTTGTATGCTTGTTGGTTTGTAGTTAAGCACAAATCTGCACAATGGGCTATCTGTGCTCTGCCCACCACGGGTATCGAAATCCGGATTCTAGCGTTGTAAGTCCGCAGATATACCGCTGTGCCACTGGGGGGTATATTTGTATGCAAAAATAATCTGTTAACTTCTCAAAACTTCGAGGTATAATTATTTAAAAAAAGTAAAACGAAACACTATAAAGCTAGTGATTTAGTATTGTTAGCAAAGGCATTCATGCAATGCACTGTGAGAGGTTTATGAAAGTTATTTTCCTGAAATATGCCAATGGTAATACAAAATTGAAAGTACATAAAAATAAAATGATTTTTAAAATACCATATTATTTTCTATTTCTTTTTTTTTTTATCAAACAGCAACAAGTAATGTGTGACTTAAAAACACCTCACTAATATAAATGTGTCTATCTAGAAAGTATGTTTAAACAACGAGTGAAAAAGAAATCTCTCAAATGATTGATGGGATCCTAAAACGAAATGTCCAGATTGAACATTGGTCATATATACGTGCCCATTGCTCTTCCACACAAAGCAGAAATTCTTTGCCTCGAAAGTGCTACCATCTAGCGCCATATTATGTAAGCACAATACTGACTGTTGATGGCTTTTAATTCACATAAAGAACGACTTCATCGGATCGTGCTGTTGATAAAACAGAAGCAAAATTTCTGTATTTATTTTCATATGTGTTTTAATAAATGCATAGTGCTGTCCGTTAAGGTTTATAAAATATTTATTCAAATTCAACTGTGTAACTACGTATATATTTGAAAAAGTGCTAAATTGGTGAGCCAGTATTCTATTATATATCTGATTTTGGATAACAGAATTGATATTCTTATTTATTACTATACTGGATGTTAAATTGTTACATAACTATCCGCTATATTTCATTAACAGTTAAATGTACCAGATGGCGCTAGACTTTATAAAAGAAACACATTTTCTTTAAATACTTCTTACAGATTTGGCATGGTTTCAGCGTTTAAGATAATTATTCAACAGGAACCATTTTGCATTTGTTATTTATTCCTTGCGTTTATTGTATAGTAACAATAAATAACACAGGCCTACGAACTTAAACTTCATAAAAGTTGTTTTGGTTTTAATAACAGATTTTCCATAATACAGCTACGCAGATTTCAAAAATAATATTTATTTTTTCTATCAGGTAAACATTTTTTACAAATCGGGAAGAAGAAAAAAAACTCTTACTTAGATCGAATTATTATTTCGTTTACCACAAGGAACAAAAATACAAACAAACTGAAGAAAAGGGAAGAACACTGATGTCAAACGAATATCCATCCTGATTATTTGTGTAAAATCTACGTCTTTTAGTCTCAAAACTACGTGTTGTGGTCTTTCTTTTATGTATTGCGTTATGTTAAAAATCTGTACGTGATGGAGAAAAATGGATATAATTTTCGGATTCAGCGTACAGGAATTACTGTAGAGCGTGTAAAAATTTCAAGACAATAAAACCATCGCTGGCCTTTGTCATTTATTGGTGTTCAGGTACTACTTGTTAAGTTTCATATAAATTTGATTCATTACTTCAACGAAGAATCAAGTTTGAAATAATTAATTAGTTAGTGATTACCTACGTTTCAAGGCTACAATTTTAATTATGAAATAGCAACACGAAAGAAATAAAAAGAGCAATGAGGCTTTTGACCACTGTGAATAAACAGTTTATCGTCTAGCGCAGCTGCACCAGACTTTAATTTTGGATTGAATATTGTTATGCTTATTTGAGACATTGAAAAGCAGAAAAAACATAAAAAACAAATACATTTCATTTCCAAATCAAAACATGATACAGTTTATTGCTGACTGAAAATTATTCAGGACAATGAGAGAAATTCTGCTGATAACTTTAATTATGACCATTGCTAATGTTTCAGTGAATTCAGATACAAGATTAACCAACTTTTCTAACTTCAATATTTTTTTCACTTATTTTCATAATTATTTTTTGGGTTTGTCTGACCCTAAAGCACACTCACAAACCCTCTATTATAACTGATTATTTATATTTTATATTTCCAACATTTTTTTCAATGATTTGTTTTTTAATTCATATCATCAAGCCATTCCAAATCGTTAAATAAAATTGCTAAGTTTTTTATTTAAAATTTTTTCATCATGCGTAAATTTATGATTAAAAATCGTAAGTCATTCATGTTTTGTTTTTATCCCCTTTACGACCTTTATCCCAACTAGTTTGGGATCGACGGGTAGTTTTGTAAGCCAATAATTTTTACACCCGGGAGGCTGGCCCAGTTGGCAACCACATAGGACGAACATATTCGATGGTTGGGATATGAACTCACGACCCTCAGATCGGGAGTCGAGCGCCCTAACCACCAGGCCCATTTCTATCCCTTCATTGAACTTCAATATTTATTAAGGAAGCTTTCAACCTTTTCATCTTCCTGTGAATTCATTGCATGCCGGGAGACGGGGTGGGTGAGAAGATTGGGTGGCTGGCGGACCATCAATGGGTTGCTCCTTCTATTTGATTAAAGTGACGAGTGTATTAATTCATGAAGACTAGCGTGTGGATAAAGTTGTAATTTCAAAAAGAAGTTTATTTGTTGTTGTTGTTGTTTTTAAATAGAGCAAGTCAGAGAAACGTAGAAAGAAAAATAACCATTCAGCTGTCTGGATGGTTAGAGATAACTGGAGAATTTTAACATTGGGATACCCACATGATTAGCATCATCGACTGGAATACTTTTCTTTCATACTGTTCCTTTGGAGGATTAGGAAGTGTAATATTGAAAACTACCTGTAGGACATGTCGTTCCAAAACCAGAAGACGAGTATAAGATGTATTTGTTTGTAATTGAGCACAAAGCTACACAATGGACTATCTGTGCTCTATCCACCACGGGTATCGAAACCCGATTTCTAGCGTTGTAACTCTAAAATAAAGCATAAAATTACTTGTTTTCTAATAATGGGGAGATCTAACAGTATTCGCCAATCTTTGCCCAACTTTAATCAGTACATACCACTTTCCCAATGGAAATGTTTCGTTTATTTTAAGTACATAGAAGTACTAAATCTCGTACTTTCAATTCACTTCCTTTGTGAAAACGGTAGGTTTCCAAAACGGTGTCTGTGCCAGTAAATACCCCGGTTTTTTACTTAACTCACTCACACAGCTTAGGAAAAGTGATTCTATTTTAAATGACTATCGGTATTTTACGATGGTTCTTTCTCATTAACTTAACTATCAAACAGAAAACGTTTCATTTATATAGTATGTAATTTAAAGTAAAGAAAAAAACAAAACATCGCTGGTTGACTTGTTCTCATGAGTGTCCTGCTACATCCGCGAATATTAGGCAGGAATTCTAATTCACTGCCCACCAGTTTTGTCACTACAATAAGTGGATCGGCAATGACTGTTAACTGTAATTAGGTAACACCCACCACCGATTGAAGGAACACTTCGTATTTAACCAGTGATACACTCATAATAGAAGCTTTTTTTCATAAAATTTTTATTGGCTGACTTTTAACTTCATGCTCGTATGATACAATTGGTCACTTATACACACACGCGCAGAATAAAGATGAATTAATGTAAATTAAAAAGAGAACATTAATGTCACTGGGGTAATCAGTTTCAGACTTGATTTTAAGTATTGCAGATTTTGTTGCTTTATTTATACGTTTTTCACTTTTGACAATGAGCTTATCTACAAAATGTTTTTACTATCAACAAAATTAAAACTTATGCTGATACAAGTCTGATATTAACTAAAATGTTCGCTCAAATTAAAAAGGAAAAACAAATATATACGCATTTTCAAAAATAAGTGAACACTATAAACATCATGACAGGCTACTTTGTTAACCTGATAAAACAAAAACGAAAGTTGGAGATTGTACAAATTTTAGATTAGACACCATTTCAATGGTAGAAAAAGGAATGTTATACAAGTAATTATATTGGAAGACCCAGCAAAGTTAAAGTGAATACGTTGACTTAAGCTTTTAATCAGTGTAAATAGGGATAGATCAGAAAACTGTAAAGATCATTGCAACAACATGGCTTTAACTTTGACAAAAGCTGGTTTCAAATATTTTAATGATTTTTTTAGATAAGAATTAAAAAGAACAATTTTCAGGATTTTAACACTTTACTTAATTCTCTAATAAGGACTTTCGAATTCTTGACTCCTTAAAGTTTTGTACTCAAGGGTGGGCAACAGGTCATTACAAAACTATCGGAATATTGTGTAACATACTACCAATCTATGTTCATTCTGATAGACCTAGCTATAACTGTTATTAGTCTTATGGAGATTTAGATCTTTCGTTTTTGAAGTATGACTGGCTTTGTTTGGGGCCAATTGTTGTAATCTGAGTATCAGAAATTGGTTGATATATATGAACAATAGGAAAATAACACATCTACATGTGGCGAGTGTTACCAAAGACTATTCCACTTGCAGTAGCACCTTTATTTGTTCCATACTGTAATCCAATAACACCTTCACCAGCTTTCAGTTGTTCCTCACTGAATGTTCGGATATTAGGTTCTGCTTCCTTAGGACCAAGGGACTTGTGGCCATACTTGTGAGCCTAAAATACATACACACACAATTAAACTGCTGTCGAAATACACTGGAAAACTGGTAAATAAACAGTTCTCATAAGTGAACTTGATACCTTACCTTACGTGCTAGAGATTGAAGGCAGATACAAACCGCTGTCAGATTTTGTTGTTCCCACAAGTCGACTGTTTGAAATATCTCTTCAGATGGTACTCCTAACTTTTGTGCACCCTCGAGAAAATGATTAATGTTCTCCATTTTCTTAAAAGCCAACTTACTGTCATTTATCTTTTTTTCTGGGATAGTACCTGGTTGAAGAATATTGATCAACCTGTAAATAAATAAAGGTTCAGTGTTCACAAGCTCTTCTAAACAGTGTACGTACTTTCCATTTACAAATTGCTTGTTTTTACGTTATATTTAATAGCTTAAGAACAATTATTACAATTTCACATATTTTCTTATATAGAGAAGATTTACAGATACTTTTTTTTTATAAAAAATAGAAAATTCAACGAAATAGATATTCAGTGTGTTTTAAAATGATTAATTTTTTTTCCTTGACTGCAAGGATCGGTAAAGAAGAAAGTGTAAAATTAGAGAAATACATTAGTAATATACAACTGGAAAACTGAATACAAGTTTTTAACAAAGTAAACAGGAAAATTACCCTATTTATGAAGCAGCAGGTTAGGATACCCCATATTTTAATCAGATTAATAAGAATTTGGGATACTTAATTCATAGAAACGAAGAAGATTCAAATGTGTAAACTTGAATAGCATTTAGTGAAATACAAAAAGACTGGAACTGGTATTTCACCCTGATGAATGCGTAGGATTGTAATAATCACTTTACACTGCCCTGCATACAATAGCTACACTATATTAAGCACTTCGCTCTTCCAATCAGCATTGATGAGCTGTGAATTCAGCAAAACTTCTCTGCTACAGTGGAAGTAGCGAATCAAAGAACAGATTAGACCACTACGCCATCTTTACTTCACTGAAATTCACTTTCTAGAGAGGAAAATAAATTCACAAATAGATAGTCATTACAAGCATGACAGCCAATAATAAAAGCAGGCTACTGCATCTCCACTGTAGAAAGGTTAAGTTGTCAATGTGAATTATCCAACCTGAAATGTAAGAAGCAAATACAAAAATAGAGCTATCAGCTGGTGCAAAAGAAAAACGTTTCAAATCAATCAGCTTTAAAAATATAAGTTTGCAACCCACTTGCAAAGTATTTTTCCATCACATAGTGTAGCGTGGAAGTTCTTGCTGTCACCATCCGTATCAATATCTTCGTTTGTTAGATCTTTTATCCACTGCAACAGTTGAAACGCAAGTTGTGGGTCATACTTCGATTTTATCTATAAAATTAAAATATACGTTATACATTAACTACAGCTGGCTCGTGATTAATATGTAGCACTATACATTTTATAGCATTGAAATAATTACCTTTACTTAGTTTAATAGAATAAACATATTTAGACAATAAGACAGAAAACAAAAGGGCCACTCGCTATATTTATAACAGCGGTTTAGATCGCGGGCTGCCTTCTGTGGAAAGTTTGTTTAATTACAGAAAGGAAGTGGCAACATTGTATATAGAACTTATTGTAGTCCGTCAAAAACCTTGAGAACTATTAATACAGACCAATGAAAATATGGTGCAAACTAACTTGATGGAAGAGTAAAACATCCAAAAATTACTATCTGTATATAATTGTTGCTCTATGTGAAACTGGTACTTGGAGGACAAGTTAAACTTATCTCCTGACATTAACATTATATTATCTTAATGATCAAATACTTTAAAATAAATAGTAAGATGTCTCTAGGACAACAATTATTGTTACTAAACAAATGAAAAACTGAATTTCCCAAAAAACATAATACATTTACACAACCAGCTAACCATACTTAAAATGATAGTAAAGGTAATTCATATAAAATTAGAAACAATAAAGTAACAGGTATTAAATTTGAAATAAATAATGTGTTATTAATCCTTACCATAAATATCCGACTTATAAAAGACTCAAAATTTATAACAATTAAAATTTCCTTACTTAACCTAGTTCATATCATAACAGTCTGTGTTCGTGAAAACTGATGATATAAATAGCCCTTAAACCACCATTGGGTGTGCCGTAACCCAGCTAGCCTAAGGTGTCCTGGTATTGGACGAAAGGCCTCGTCAGTACTGGACATGCAGATGCAGTGCGGTTGATATATCATAACACACTTGCTTTCACTCGTACATTCTTAGAATTATACCGTAGAATGGAGTTTTAGATGAATGACCCACGATTCCAGCTAACGCACGTGCTCTCTCAAAAGACAACCCTGGCACGTGATGCGTACCAAAACATGCACAGACTCGAGCTGGCCATACTGAGCGAAGCCACTCATAGTATTCGGAATAAAATGATGAAATTGTACAACAACGTAGCGCATTTGTTAATGCATTAATCGCATGGGTTTAGGGTTTTGCTATCTTAAGAATCACTTATAAACATATTTACGTGGATAACCCACTGCGAGGGGCACTAGGCAGAACCTGCTTTGATAATTATATATAAAGTTTCTCTAATGAATTTGAGGAAATAGTTTAAGAAATTTAGTAAATCATACAACTGAGAACCACCTAGTTAAGTTTAAAGGGCTAGAATAACAACACAGGTATATTTTAATATTTAAAGGTAAAACAAAAAAGCGTAAACGCATTTTTCACTTTGGATAGTATTTTAAAAGAATTATCCAGGCAACAAGGCCAAAAATAATTCTCACACATAAAATACAAAACACATATGCATGAGTGTTCATGAAGATACGGATTCTTGTTTGTTTGTTTTAGCTATGCACTGAATACGAGCATATTGCAGCCTGCAGATGATCATGTCAATAAATCAATAACCATTGTTTAAATATTTCCACAATAGGTGGCGCGAAACGCATTTAAAATGGCAAGAGCGAGTGATTTCGGTTTTGAAGGGCATACACTAGCGTCAAATCCTATAATTACATTCAAGTAGGAGTTCCCCTACAACATAATAATACCAAGCACCTTGTTTTGTAGCAACTACAATTAAAATGTTCAGGCACACATATTTCTGACCTATCAACCAGTGACTAACCTTTTAGATCCTCTCAAAGACCGTCTGCATGACTGCACTTACAGAGAACTGACGTTATTACAGCAGCTGTATACAAGTAGACTCGTAACACCACACGTGCATGTTTTCCTATCTTGTATGAGGAAATAATGGAACAGTAGAGAAAATGTACAATACTAAACAGGAACTACAGTTGAGAAGCATGTGTGGTTTCCCACATCCTCAACACCATTGGCGTACATTCATTAGTTATAATCTGATAATTTGGGTAAAGGAAATAAAATCCTTTTTCTCTCTAAACACTTGCGCGCGAGCGCACACACACACATCAGTTTTCATGACAAAGAGAGAGCCGAATTAATACCACGGTCTTGCTGTTTTTCGGGCTGATGAATGGTATTAACCACGATAAAGACTTTTTTGAACTATAAAACAAATAGGCAAATATGACGTACGATGTTATCATTAAGGTTGCTAATTTGATATGACGTAAGACTAATAGATTTTCGCTAATTAGCCATCACGAATCTGAAATTAAAGAAACATACTTCCTCGATGAGCTTGTATGAATTGTACTTTATATACGTGTGATGTATAGTTTAGCAAATGACGCTTTTAACCCTAAAGTCAGCCGTTCTTACTCACATAGTTTAGTTTTAGAAGTACTTTGCTGAATTTATTATTTGAGAGTAGTATAAATGCCAAGGCCTTCATTGGTGTCACTCCGATTCGTAAAAACAAATATTCGACTTTCGTGTAAATCACTTAAGTTATTGGAATAGAAGAAAAGAACCACTTTTTTGGGGGGGGGGGGGAATTCTCCACTTTGTACTGCTGGCTACACCACTGTGTTGTACGAGAAATTTTCAACGTGATATCGTTTTTGCTAGAAAATTTTATTTCGTAAATGGCACAACCAAAATGTTGATATATCAACTTGAAATGGACGTTACTTAAGACCCTGAGTTGTATATCTTCTTAAAATTTTGTTTACATTTTCTGTAAGATTACTATATTCTTCAAAACTTGAGAGTAATTGTTACATTACGCTTTAAAATTTACTTGCTAAATTGAAAGGGAAAATATCGCCAACGAAATAATGTGAAAATAACCTTGTCATTGGTATTGATCAACCGGAATATTCATCAAGCGCCATCTCGTGAAGGACAGCATCATTGGATAAAAATATTTTTATGTCTAAGCTATTTGCGTCTATAAATCTACAACCACGAATGATAAAACAAATATGTATATTTGTGGCCTTGAGAGTGCTTAAATACATATAAATAATATTCATGATGGCTGTAATCGCCCACACAACATTCCTTTCCATAAAGAGTTCTGACAATAATGACCTTTTCATCTAAAAAATCATCCACGACTGGGATCTCTCTGGAGTCCGGACATCCTTCAGTCTCTTAACCATAATATATACATACACTTATAGAAGTATGTCCTTTTCTTCTGTAAAAACTGCCATGACAGAAATCAATCTGGACATCCTTCAACCTATTAATCATAAGTAACGCATACACTTAGAATATCAAACTAACAAACAACCTGCTTCAACCTTTGTGAAACAATACTGATGTGTCTGTCGAGTCCAAAAATAGCACAGAAGAGTCCGATATTAAAACATTTTGTTATCTGACAACCTAGAATTTCATTTATAAATAACCCATAGTGTATGTCGCTGTTATAGTATATATATATATATGTCCTTTAACAATATCATTTAAACAAACTAAGGCAGAGCGTGGTTCAAAAGTTAGTTTCCCCCACAGAAATTGTCTCATGTTAATGTACAAGTACATGTGTACATAGAAAAGGTTTCACAGACAGATAGAAGACGAACGAGTTTTTGTGCTACAAGTCACAAGGAATTGATTTAAGTGTGGGACAACTATTATTTGCACAACTCTGAGCCACCGAGGATCATAATTTTCAACTACAAGTTATGACAGCAGATGCCTTATGTCAAACTATGTAACGATAAAGGTGTAATCTAAAGGGTTTTAAACAGAGTTTGTGGTATTAAAAATATTTTTGATGACTTGCCTTATATGAATTTTCGTAAACTAGAACAAAATAATATCAAAGCTTATCAACTGAACTCTGAATCTTATCAATGAAGCTATTTTATTGGTTCTATTCTTAATTGATTTTAAAATACTCAATTCATAATTGATCAGAAAGTGGTTACGTTTTATTTGAGCATTATTATATCTTACAAGAAATGTTGAGGTTTCTACCTAATTTCTGTCAAATATGCTTATTATATGGTTAAACACTTGACCTAGAGTTTAAGGTTACAAAAAATTATCCTTAAGAACTTTAACCCCAATTCAAGTGTACTTTCAACTATTTGATGTACGCGTTTACACCCTAATTAGGCTAGAATCAGGGCCAGATTTAAGGGAGGCCAATCGGGAAATCTGTCCAGGGTTCAAGGCTGCCAAGACTGAATACAACCAATATTAAAATATACAAATATATTTTTAATCGCTATTTCAGAGATTGAAATCCAATTTACTTACCTCATGATCGCGTTAGCTAAAGTTGGAATATTTATTTTCAAATTAAAGTAACTTGTACAGGGACATAAAAGGGTATTAAAAGGCTATGCTATGATAACTAACCCCACTTTGGAATATGGATAGGGAGGGGGATCATTTCTGGTTACAATTCCTAGGGCCCATGATACCTAAGCCTGGCCCTAGGTACGGTAATACTTATATTGTATAAAACACAAAGAAACAAACAATATTAATTACACACTTACTTTTTGTATTAATAACTAACTATGATGGTTACAGTACTCCTTGACGAATATCTTATTCGTTTCTTTTTTTAGGTTGGACCGTAATAAATATTTTTGTTTACCTCTGATTATTAAAACAGGGGCGTACTGTATAAAACTGTGTACTTTTATTGACAATGAAGTGTTACAGTAACAGTGTTATGTCTTTAGCGCTAAGAAAATTGTTATGAGTATCAATACAATACGTATCGCATTATTAGTAACGTTACAGTGTTATAAATATTAGTAATAATACAATGATAAGCAACACAAATATACATTTAAGAGCGTATAATAGTAAATTATAAAGTTATTTCATTCTATTTAAAGTCAAAGCTATGCAATGGCCTAAATGCGATGTGCTCATTGCGGATATCGAACCCCGAATTTTACCATACTAAGACCTCGAGCTTTTGGCTGAGCCACCGAGGATCATAATTTCAAGTCA